AGACTATTGGATGAACACTTACTGGAGGTTACAATTTCGAAACTCAAAATGTTTAAGTGGTTTTTATTTTAATCTAAATAAAATAACTCTAGCCGACAGAAGAAGCCCAAACGTCGCTAAAATAGAAAAGAACCATTCTCAAATTTCCTTAATAATGAAACAGTCCGGCAAGGACCGGCCTACTCCGACTGTTGTCCTCTGGGAGCGGGAGTACCTCAGGGCAACGTTCTTGGACCGATCCTCTACTTCCTCTACACCGCAGATATCCCAACTTCACCTGTATCTTTACCGAAGGCACAGCTGTGATTATTGCTCCTACTTTTTTTTTCTTTTTTTTAAGGAGCTCCAGGCGCATGGTCTCTAAATGGCCGAATGGAGCAAATAGTGGTGTGGTGGTGTGTAAAGTTTAATGAAAGTAAAAGCACCGCTACGTGTGTGGTGATTAGTGACTGTTAATCGATATTTGTTTAGAAATCGTGAGATGCGGTCTGGTGTGATGGCACTCTCGACACGACACGCAAGAATGGCACAATTACACAGTAGACAAACACTTTGAGCCCTGAAGAAGATCTCAATAAAGATGGAAACGTTGGCACGATAAAGAAAATGTTTTTCTGAAACCTACCTCACACCAGACCGCATCTCACGATTTCTAAACAAAAATACGTCCGCTACGTTTGGTTCGATGTAGTCTCAAGACTAACCTTGAAACAACACACACATCTAAAACGGCAGGAATTAAGTAAACATTTCGGACTACTCTACTGTCACGCAAATCTAACCTTCAAGAAAAAACTACAAGACAACATTAAAACCAATCTGGACATACGGTCTAGAACTGTGGGACTAAACCTTCCGACATCCAAACAAATATAGTCATTTCAATCCTGGGAACCATAGTTGACGCGCCGTACTATGTCTCCAACTCACTCTTCAGAATGACCTCAAAAACCATCTCGTGAACAAAATAATCCCCAAAACATTTTCCACTTTCCACGATTACCTCTCCTCTCAACCCAAACGAGTTGTCCAATCCTTAGTCAATAGGACCATACAATTATCATCCCACACTACTATTATTATCCCACCAGAAGACTAAAAATGGCCCGCGACCTAATAAACGAGTCCTCGCGTATAGTTGGGAGGACAACAATACTTGTTAATTCCCCTTACGACACATGATCTATGTCATTTGTAAATCATTAAATAATGTAAATAAGCGTACATTGTAATAAATACAGTAAATTTTAAAAAAAAGTATGAGGCATCTACCAAATATATTGTACTTCGATTACATGTAATATAAACACCAAATTCCCATTTTTCATTTTAAAATAATGAATTGTTCTTTTAAAAATGGGTGAAAAAATCGATGTTTCGTAAGCGGTTCATTGTAGTCGAACGAGTTTTTATTTTATAGCTGCTTACCTGCGAAAGCAATAAACAATAAGCTGATAAATCTTTAGTTAACAAAAACCTTTTATCGAATGACTCGATAATAGCCACTTTAATATTTTTCTTATCTCTTTTCTAAGCGCCCTTTGAATTCATGCTTTATCGAAGTTGTTGGAAATCGCCATTCGGGCTGCCAAAGTAAAATTGGCCAAGTAGCTAAATACAAAAGTAACAAAAGCCTGCCGGGAGGGGTTTGTTCCAGGCTTTTTATCGTCACGATATATCAGCGCCAGTTCGGTCCATTGTTTATGGCTGAAAACAAGGGTGGATTTTGATTACAAGAACGAAAATATAGTGGGCAGTAACAATAAAGCGGGCGCTTCGTCATAAAGGCAATTCCGATTATAAGTAATCTGTAAAAGGCCTATAAGAGGCCAGTTTATACTTTTAAGACTATTAATTAAATAAAGAGATAGTATTAACTAAAATCAACAATCATTTTGACACAACCACTTTTAAAAAACCGAACCACCCTAAAAATGGTAGAAATGATGAAGGTGAGGTGAATCTGTAGATTCAATTTTGTAAATGATGATTCTACTCACACATTTAAAAATGTGTGGGTCTTTTCATGAATAATTACAGTTTACTTATTTAATTAACGTTCCATATTTATTTCGGAACAAAAGTCGAAAACGCATTCCTCCTAGAATATTGAATTTTAATTAACTTTAAACAATTATTTTTACAAAATGTTTAATATTGGACTACGAAACATTGTCATTTGGTAATGAAGCACGTGAAGTTCTTTAAAGATAATTCCATTACCGTAATTCATTATTGCATAAATCACCTTCTTTACTATCCTTACCATTCTTCAATAAACAATGATTTTTCTTTTTCACTTTAATTTCGCTGAAAACCCACACCTTTCTTGCCAGAATTGACCGTTGCTTTGTTCAGAAAGCTGTACGTAGTAATGGACCTACTCCAATCCGACAGATTAAGTTAGTTCGTAGAATTGCGTTGTTCCCTTTCCACCATGATTTCTGACAAATCCTATTGTTCTATAAAATCCACATTTGGCCCTTCCTGTATAATCTCCATTTAATAAAGATTTACACTAATTTCGTTGGCCATTGAGATTTCCGAGGTTTAACTTAATTAGCCATAAAGTCATTTAAATTGTGGTTGTTTTTGATATTATATTTTATTTATTTTTTATGTGTTTGATATTAATTAATTTTCGAGAAATATGGCTCTTTTAAAATAATTTATAGCCGGTATTAATATCACAAACCATTATTATAATTTAAAATATTTGGAAAACATTTGGTTGATTCATTTGTGTCAAACAAAAATCATACTTTTTATTTTAAAATAAATTATCTCCTCTTTTGAGAAGAAGCAGTAATGCCCGGAGCATCGTGTTGAAAGATAAAACATATATAAACATAAAACAACAAAATCTCACTGGCACTCTCAACACGACACGCAAGGATGGCACAATTACACAGAAGACAAACACTTTGAGTGAGTAGAAATAATTTGTTTGAATATAAAATATATTTTGCATTGTATAAATTCACTTTTCCACATCCAAAATGTAATTGTTATATGTAAACAATGTTGTAAATCCCAGGCCCTGAAGAGGATCTTAATAAAGATCAAAACGTTGGCACGATATAGAAAATGTTTTTCTGAAACCTACATCACACCAGACTGCATCTCACGATTTCTAAATAAATATAAATTGCGTTGATAAGCTTATATTAAAATTAATCAATTCCTGCTAGGTATGTTGTACTGCTATATTTTCATTCCTTTTTTAACTTTTTGTAAATTTCACACATAAAATAACCAAAAGGCGTATTGTAAGCCTGATTTTTAACAAAAATGTAATGTATTTAACGGACTTTTTTTAATGTAGCATAATTTTATTTCCCTTGTTGGGAAAGAGTATCGAGAAAGACTTCCTCCAAAATATTTATGCTATACTTAATTCCTAATGATTACTTCGGTTTCTGACATCTACACACTACAAGTCAGCACCTCGTTGCAGACATTATCGCTTCCTCCTTTGCGAGCTGTACGTGTGTCTTGCTCGTCGTTGTGCACGTATTTCGCATTTTGTGGTGTCGTGTAAAGTCAAAACCATCTTTCTCGACTGCCTTCTAATTCATGGTCCTACTTTGCTAACCATTTACTTCCCATTCATCCATACATCCTGATGGGAGGGAGTCCTCCAACGTGTATCCTTGGTGCTATCTTTCTTTTCCTTATTATATAGCGCTGACATCCATCACTAACCAAATATAGAACCTTTTCTCATTCTAAGTTACATCGAGTGTCTATATACAGGGTAATTCATGAGCAGACGTCAATACTTCAGTAGAGTAACCTACATAATAAATTGAACTAAAGAGTCTGTACTGTCCAAAGTCTGATTAGCAATTATGTATTTGTTAAATGTAAACATTGTTTGCAAATCCCAGGCCCTGAAGACGATCTCATTAAAAGATAGAAACGTTGGCACGATAAAGAAAATGTTTTTCTGAAACTTACATCACACCCGACCGCATCTCACGATATCTGAATAAACAAAGGAATTATTTATTGTGGAGTTTTTATTACATCTATACCAACAAGAAATGACGGTCTAGCTGTCATCGCAGTGAAACAATACTGTCAAACATTACGGTCACTCAAACGTACATTTTAATGAAACAATTATCATTACTTGGAAGAGGCAGCTTTTCGTAATTTTCATAAAAACTCACGATTTCCTCTTCAATTACATTTATTTTTCAACATTCACATTTAATTTAATTTAAAAGAATATGGCGTAACGTTTAACACTTACTTCATCTTACCTTTTTTTTTTNTTTAAATAAAACCTTGGATATACCGATGTTTTTACTCAATTTAATAAAATTTTGTGTGAGAAAAAAGTTTTACCGGACACTGTGTTGCTACAGTTAAAAATTATTGAATAACCCACTCGGCCTGTTATGCTAATTGGGCCGTATAATATAAATGTTTTGGCTTTCCTCCACCAATTTTCTTAGTTAGCATAAATATTTGATCTAACGAACTTCCAGAGTGCTTAATATTCTCTTTATATCTGACCTTGAATATATAATTAAAAGATTTTTTTCGAATAAAGTTTTAATAAGATTAGACAGGCCACTGAAAAAAACCGAATTTATTTACAAGACAGAAAAACTGGAAGACCCTCTCTTGTATTGTGCATAATTAATGTTGAGGAAGTAATGCAATTTTGTAACGTTAAATAAGAATGAGAATGGCTTTGTGATTATTAAATATAAACCGACTTACTTACTACTTCAAAAAATTCACAATATAAGAAAATATCACAGTTAAAAACAAAAGAATTTACATTTTGTGAACAAACATAACATTTAACGCTTTAAGTCCTTTTTCTGGCGTCGGTCGTTAAATTTACGATTGTCCGCTTCAAACAAAGAGGCAATTAAACGTTTCATTACCTAGACGGCAAGAATGTTTTACAACTTCGTAAAACTCGTTTTTGATCCTTCAGCATATAGTCGAAGGAGGCTGTTAAACATATTTACCCTTTTCAGAAATCGTCGAAGGCGTAAAAAGCGGAGGTCTCCGGCCTTCGACAACGGGCATCTGCTGCGAGGAAGAACTATCAGCACTCATGAGAAGATGCTGGGAAGAAGAACCAGCCGACAGGCCTGATTTCAACACTTTAAAAGCCACCATCAGAAAACTGAACAAGTAAGTAATTAGCTTTATTTACTTTCTCAGTATTACTTGTTACCAAATTAAAATTAATTGTAACGTATATGCCGCAATTGAAAAAATAATATAAAAAATGTTTGAATTGAATCGTATAACATAATAATAAATGTAGATCTCATTTATGAAAATAATAAGTCCCCCTAATAACCTGCCACTATTCTTTCTTACTGCCATTATTAAAATACATTATAAATGGATTTATCGGAATATCCGTGGAAGGAAAATTGAAATAAGGACAAATTTACAGGTAACTGGTGTTTGGTAGGCATCGGGTTACGCGTCGGCTGAGGTGTTAATTAAATAGGGTGGAAATGAGTTGGATAAGACCTGGTAATCATCAGGCCTACGCCGACCCACCGTGATCTCATTTCCAAGGAATGTAGAACTCGGAAAAAACACCTTGAACGGGATTCGGGTTATTTATCGAATTTCCTTTTGAGAAAAATTCCCCCTTGGCTGAACTTTTTCACAATATTTATTACGGATTTACTTACCGAAGAAATCCGAGTTTAATTATTAAATCTAAAAATTCGAATGTGCGAAGAATAAAATGTGGTGTTTTGATATTTAACTTATAAGTTTATGATTTATTCATTTTATCACCTAAAATCATGCATGTTTTTGATGCTATCTTTGAAATTGCACAATATGAGCTCATACAAACATAGGCTTTTGGATGGCTTTTAATTTTCAATCACGCAAAACTCCAAAATATGTTCGTTTTATGTGACCTTTATTCACAATGATTACTCTCTTCTCAGATAAACTCACGGGAGTCCAAATATATCAATGTAAAAACATTAATTAATCAACTAAAAACGTGCTTTAAACACTGGAAGCTACCTTGGATGGAACAAGCTTCGGCATCATAACCGACAGTATGAGTTCGATCAAGCAGATTGATTGGTTCCACCCAAATACAAAGTGCGACCATTTACTGACTGAAATCATAAATTTGATACACAATCTCGAGTCCTCGCGGAAGAGAGTGGTTTTTTGTTGGAGCCGGGGACATTGCGGAATCCGGGGTAACAACTCGCCAAACAAGCGGTTGTGCACGGGGAATACCACGATATCAAAATGACCAAAACAGACGCTAAGCGTCTTTTGAACAAACAGTGGTTGGAAGGCTGGCGTGCATGGTACAAGAGAGGAGCGGCGGGAAGAGTGTATAAATCACTTTTCCCCCAGCTACGCCCAAACCCATGGTTCACTGCAATAAAATGTGGCAGCAAAAGATTTTTTCGGTAATATCCCGGATCCGGACGGATCACTACATATGTGGAACGTACTTGCACAGAATAAACGCCAGAGACTCGGCAAACTGCGCAAAGTGTGATGAGCCAGAAAACATCAAACACATAGTCTTTGACTGCCCGGAATACGAAGAAAGTAGGAAAGTCTTCTTTGACGAACTGTACCAGCTGAGGGAGGTTACCAAACCTCTCAGCTGGGAGAGTTTACGTGTGTCGGAAAGGGTCGAGGCCTACAAATTAATTTATTCATTCTTCCAGAACTGCGATGTTACTATATGAAATGAGAGTTTATTTTTTTAAGTTTATTTGTTTATATATTTATTTATTAAGCATATATTATTTATTATAGCATATATTATTTATATTTATTTATTAAGTAATTTATCTATGATATTTCTGTATTGTGTATATAAGGTTAATATTTTTACTCGGACGATTGCTGTATGTCCTAAGGCAAGGCAAAAAAAAAATACTGAAAGGAACTTGTGATCTTAATTAGTGTGCCCACTGTAAAAAATTTCCTTGAGGCTCTGGATTTACTTTCACTGTCGTAAATGTATTTGAGGGGTGTTGTCAAATTGCACATAGGTGCGTATAACGCGCGGGACACAATTATGGAACCAATGCTTCAGAAAGCGCGATGGTCCACTCAAATGTGCACTGCGTCATGGTAATCACCCTGCCGATTATCTTGGCACGGATTTACACAAAGGGCTCCAACATCAAAGAAGGAAGCGAGAGTTTTCCAGAGGGGTAGAATAATAAAGACACAATATATGCAAACAACTTTAATACACAAAGCACAAAAAGAAAGAAAACCTATACGTTTACTGCTGTAGATTTGATATACCCGAGTAGGAAAACCCTAGAGCCTCCATTAATCCACAGAGAATTAAGGTGCGGTAACTTACGCATTTTAAAAAAACCAACGGAGATCCTTTAGGAAGTAATTCAAATTATCTTCATGAATATTAAATTGAACGACTGAGTGATTAAGTTATTTGCATAAAGTTAAGTGAGCGTGCATTTGGAGAAGGCAATTGTATTCCGTTGTTGGGACATTTTTTTGCAACATTAGAAAAGTTAACTGATGTATTATATAAAGAAGGGGAAAAAGCTAAATCAAATTTATGGATTAAATATAATTTTAAGAGAGGTCACAAGTCCGACACTGAATGGAAGGGTTTTAGATCTCATTCCACTATCAACTTGGAAATTCACCATTTTGAAACCTTAAGTTTCTGAACTTTAAATAGATCTTCATATTTGTTAACCTTGTGAAATATCAATAATAGTTTCAGTCTTCACGGAAACGATATATTCCTCGAAAGCTAGATGAAGGAACTGAATATTCATCTTTCTTTCAAATTGGCCTTAGCCCTGATTTTTTAATGTAAAAATAAATATTAAAGGCTATTCTAAAATCGAGATACAGATTTATAAAACAAACATACATAAATCTCATTAAAACGACCAGAAAGGCTTACGGAAACAAATTTATACTTCTTGGCTAATGGACTTTTCCTCTCGACGAAACGGTACTTAAGTGTATTGCTAGCCTTGCTGGCACTTGAGCAAGGCGTTGATGAAACTCAACGCGCGACCGCGCGGCGTTGAAGGTTTAGTATAATCTGAGCCCCATTTTGACAGCTAGTGCATACTTTTCCTGGACCACATAGACAAAGGACAATATCGGTAACTGCTTCACATGTAAAAATTGACCCGTCAAAATTCATCAAAAAAGTTCAAATAAAGTGACTATTCGAGTGACAGATGCTACCATCAAAATAAAATGGCAATACGGAATCTAACAGGAGGTCTATTTCAACAATAGTGATGTGTGTGAACGAAAAAGGTTTTCCCAATATACACGCTCTTGCCTGAACAGGCAATTTATAAACGTGAATTGTCAATTATACAAGACGTGCCAAATGTTCATAAATGTGTGACCAAAATTGGAAAAAAGATGTAATATTCTTTTACTTCTTTGTTTATGAGTTCAATTGCTGAAAGAAAAGTAATTCTATAAATATAAATTTGTTTATTTTTATTACTCATTTTGAACAGTCATTTTTGAATATTGCTGTTTTATTGTTCTGTTTTTTACAAATAATAGAAGTTATTTGACGTATAATGTATATTATTGCATTATACATCTACCATTCATTTTTCACAAACGTTATTTTTATAAGTTGCAACGACGGCCGTTTCAAATCGTGGCATAATTCTTCTTTAGTTTTGAAATAATATTGAAGTTAGTTGTTCTAAACCATCCCTAAGTTAGTTGATTCCACAAATTAACTAATAACTTAATTAATTTTAACCAAACTTGAACGGTTTGAAACGGTCATCGTTAGAACAACACTGAGTGTCAAAAAAGTGTGCCACCTTCGTTTCTGTTTTTTTTTTTTTCACAGTAAAAAGTTACAAGTAAACACTTAAATCGTTATCATTTTAATTTTTTGTTGTTTACTGGATATTTTTAACGAAAAATGTAAGACAGCTAAATAAAAAATGAAATTGAGTACAACGTTTTTACGTAAAATATTGCTATAGAAATATGAAAAAAATATTCAACTCTCCGGACATGGCCTAATTAACTCCATTATTCTTTGAAATCTTCCTCAGAAGGTTATAGTATTTTGTAACCCGTATTTCCTTCAAGCGGAATCGGCCAGGCTTTTTTCAGTCAGCTTGGTAGTTGTTTGAAAACCTTAAAATAAAATACATAAACGCAACAAATGATCAAAAAAATAATTCGGCGCATTAATCCTCGTTGCTTACAGAACTGATCCTTCGGAGTCCATTGGCGCCGGAAGCTTGTCAACTCCGAAATAAGCGAAATAAACACAAAATCTCAGAAAGTAAAAATTGTTTTCAACTTAATATTGGTTTTTATAGACTCGACACTACTGAATATTTTAAAAAAATTTAACATTTCTTCAAAAGGCAAGATGGAATAGAAGACATTGTTGATAGCCACTGGATCGAGAACTGTCCGCGATACATAATACAGCTTCTTATAAAAAATTAATTTTGTTAAAATAAAAATAATATTGATTTGTTAAATAACGTTCATTTTTGTACTTCCTACCGGGTGATGTATAAACTATCCCCTTTGATTTCTTTTGTTTGTAAATAATTTAAAAAAATAGGACAGGTCTTTACATAATTTTTCACGTAGAATCTTAATCTGATGTCAGAAATTTTCCAGATGCACGTCCTGTTAATTCTTGTTTGAATGTATGTACATATGTCCTTTAAGTGTTCTAGTGACTTAAATTTTCAAAATAGACACCACTAATCTCCATACAAAGCAAAATCCTATTACTGAATTTTTTTTGCACTTCACGGAAAATATCTGGTGTTTAGGGATGGTTAGATGCTTCTACAACATTCTTTTATAGCAACGATGGGTAGAATTGGCGAGCCACCTTTCATTTACGCTAAGAAAAGGCAGAAAAAAACCCCAGGGCCCTCGATGTTCGTGTAAGCCCTTCCATGCAAAATGCTCGCTCAATACAATGATCCCCCTTAATAATTTTTAACACGCGGTGAGACACAAACAAATATGAAGTCTACAAATGTTGACTTATCGACCGAATGTAGATCCTTTGATGAGGAAGTACGAAAGGGAAATGCAACTCAGGCAAACAACATCAACCCTGCGTGGTTCTGATCCAATTTTTCATTATACGTATATTTATTGGATTTATAGTT